GTGGGCAGCGGAGTCCCCCAGGACTTGGTCCTTGGGCCGGTGCTGTTCAACATCTTCATTAGCGACCTGGACGAGGGTGTGGAGTGCACCCTGTTCAAGTTCGCTGATGACACCAAGCTGTGGGGTAAAGCAACTACACCGGCAGGCAGGGACCGCATCCAGGCAGACCTGGATAGGTTAGAGAAGTGGGCGGATCTGAACAGGATGCGGTTCAACAAGGACAAGTGCAGAGTGCTGCACCTGGGGAGAGAGAACCAGCATTATGGTTATAGGTTAGGGGCTGACCCTCTCAGCAGCAAAGAGGCAGAGAGAGATCTTGGAGACATGATTGACTCCAGGATAAATATGAGTCACCAATGCGACGAAGCAATAATCAGAGCCAATCACACCCCGTCATGCATCAACAGGGGCATCACTAACAGGTCCAGAGAGGTCTTGCTCCCCATCTATGCGGTGCTGGTCAGGCCGCAGCTGGAGTACTGGGTCCAGTTCTGGGCACAGCACTTCAAGGAGGACATGGAGAACCTGGAGAGGGTCCAGAGGAGGGCCACTCATATGGTTGGGGGCCTCCATGGCCAGCCCTATGAGGAGAGGCTGAGGGACCTGAATCTCTTCAGTCTCCGCAAGAGGAGACTGAGGGGGGATCTTGTAGCTGCCTACAACCTTATCAGGGGCCAGCAGCAGGGACTCGGGGAAAGTCTGTTCACCAGGTCCCCCCTTGGAGTCACCAGGAACAATGGCCACAAGCTGAGGGAGGATAGGTTTAGGTTGGATATTAGGAAGAACTACTTCACTGTAAGGGTGGCCAGAGCCTGGAATAGGCTTCCCAGAGAGGTGGTGCTCTCACCTTCCCTGGAAATCTTCAAGAGGAGACTGGATAGGGACCTGGTTGGAGTCTTATGACCCCTCCCACCCCCACTGCTTCTTCCTTCCCATGGCAGGGGGTCGGACTAGATGATCTGTCTAGGTCCCTTCTGACTCATTGATTCTATGATTCTATGATTCTAAGACTAGGTATCTGGGATATATATTGGGCAATAGTAAAATCAGTCCCCTAGTTGATAAAGTAGAGGTCTAGGTGGAAGCACTGATGCCAACAACCAAGAAGCAAGTAAAATCATTTCTGGGATTGGCCAGCTACTGTTAACAATTCATCTCATGATTAGCAGTCATCACAGCAGCACTGACTGACCAGCTGAGGAACAGAGAACTGCAAAGAACTTAATGGTTGCCCAAACGTGAGTCAGCATTTGGGGCAGTAAAACAGCTACTATTCAGTGCACCAGTCCTAAGCAGCCCAGACTTAACAAAAGACTTTATATTACAGACCAGTGCCTCGGAGAGAGGCCTGGGTGTGGTTTCCCCCCAAGAGTCTGAGGATGGAGAACACCTCATTCTGTATCTCAGTAGGAAACTCCTTCCCCAAGAGCAGAAGTATGTTGTCATAGAAAAGGAGTGCCTGCAATTAAGTGGCCCTATGCTACTTCAGTTTCATTTAGTAACTGACCTATGCCGCTTTGATACGGCTTAACACCATGTGGGAGGCCAACCCCCAGTTGATAAGGTGGTATCTGTCTCAGCAGCCTTTTGATTTCTTGATATATCACTGCCCTGGTTCAGCACATGCAAATGTAGACTTCTTCTGAGAGTGGGGGATGGGAGGAGGATTGAGGAAAGGGAAGAGTACATCTCAGACTCCACTTCCACTCTGGGAAGGGGTGATGTGTAAGCCGGTACATGGCTCAGGGGTGGGAGCCCAGCTGCAGGCGTTAATAAGTAATAGCCTGCCTGCTCAGGGGCATGGATATTGATGACGCATAAGGGGTGCACACAGGAGCATGTGCACCCCCTGAAATCGGCCGTGTACCCCCTGGAAGCTCCAGCTGCAATACGGGAAGTGCCACCAGAAGTTTCGCCACTGGCTCAGTGATCAGCTGCTGGGGGGCCCCCCCTGTTGGTGATCTGGTGCCCCCCCAGACTTGGGAGGCCCCAGTCACCCATAGGTATGGGGCCAGCTGACAAGGATGATTGCCTGATCAGAGGAAGTTAAAAGCTCCCAGGGAAGGAAGCTGGGGAAGAAAGGGAAGGCTGCAGTGCCAAGGAGGCAGCATAGAGCTGGGATAGCCCTCTCTAGGTTTGAGTTAAACAAGCAATAAAAGGTTGTGTGTTTGTTTTATTATGGACGTTGGTTTTCATGTGGGGACAGGTTTGCCTCAGGGAAAACAAAAAGCTGAGTGACAACCTATTACATGGATTGATAATGTAGATTCTGTCATAGATTTTTAATGGTATTTTCTCTTCTTTGTTAAATATTGTATTCTACATATTTATTTTCTGTATTGTGACTAATACTACTTTAATGAAGAGCTCATTTTTAAACCAGAGATGCGAGTGTTAAAGAGAATATAGAATTATTAAGTTGCTTTGAAGGAGGGAAATATTTGTATGTAGATGATGTTTAACAAATAAAAGATGACCTACAACTATAGAAAATAAATGGACCCAGGAAATAGAAGGATATGAGGTCAGGTGTAGGGTAAGCAAACTCATGGAAGAAACTATGATAACCTGAGTGGAGTTACATTTGGGCTATGAGGAGGCATGGGAAGCCAGTAACAGCAAGAGAAGGTGGGGTGGGAGGCTTTTGCCTCTTATTCTTGTTCTATCTGAAGTTAAGAAAATAAGGATTTAAGGTTAGAAGCAGGGAAATGATTAATGTTTGCAAAACTCCCAGAATGGTGGCAGGCAGGCAGACTAAGTGTAGGATATGTGGAAGTGGAGAAACTCTGGGGTCCAGAATGTCTTAAAGATTAATGGACTTCAGAACAAAACTAAGGCTAATGCTACATGTGGTGGTAATAATTTCTTGTTTCTCTTGAACAGCTTTTAGATAGCTGGTGGGATTAAACATTTCCTTGCTTGTTCATTTCTAGATTTTGCCCCTTCCCTTCGGTATATCTTATATTCTGTCAGGTTATTCTTTGTATCCCCTCTTACAGTCTTGGCTGCATGTAACAATATCTACCAGGTAGTATGTGTCTGCAGAACTCTGCATTTTTATCAAGGGTTATCAAGGCCTGTGTTTAAGTAGGCCATTGAAAATCCTGAATCCCTGTATCAGTTCCTAAAAGCTGTTATTAGGCTATCATGATAGACGGTAAGAGATACCTGAAAGCGTTCTCGGATTAAGTATGAGGAATACTGGAAATGCCAGAATATTGTGGTAACATTTTCTGCTTGTAAAGGTAAAATTCTGAGCAAAGAAAATTAACATCAGAGGCATAATATATGTACAGTTTGCTTACCTCCCACAGCCTTTACCTCATGACACATGTGCACATGCACATATTGACACTAGGGGAAAAAGTGAGGAAAAGAATTAAAGGTATAGTTAGTTTGCGATCTCAGAAATTCAAACTAAAGGGATAAAATGATATGTATGTGGTGCCACTGAAAGGCAGCTTCCTTTGGAGTTAAGGACAGCAAGCCATGGGCCCAAGGCATTCCACAGACATTGATGGAGGATGAAAATTTTTATCAGAGATGCCAGCACAATTCTCTACTCCTATGAAAAGAGTGGAAAGGTGTCATTATTTTGACACTTAAACTCACTTTTAGCTTATATTAAGTTTTCCAAAGTGTGCTTCCTGAAGTCCCTAAATCTTATGGAGAAAGTATTAAGCACTTTCAGCAAATCAGTTTACTTTTTTTGTTTGATATCTTTCCCATTTAGTTTCTCCTTTCCCAGTTCCCTACTTACTACTTAGGCTCTGACATTCCAGGTGATTATCTATAGCTAACAGCCAGAGTTTTGATGCTAAACTCCTTTGAGACTTAAGACAGTACTTACTTACCGCTACTTAAAATTTCTGTATCAAAGAATGTGTAACTCCTGCACTTCCCACCTTGCCACTCACGTGTATAGATGGTCAGTTTCTTTTACTGCTATATACCAATTGTATTATCAAAGGCTGATGTTCCTGTGAGTTGTTAGAAACATTACCATTTCCTATGGGAGTGCCAAAGAGGAAGAAATACAAATCTTGGCCAACAATTGTGTTACTGGTTTATAGATGAGATGTTTCCATTCTAGGCATCATGAATAGCTGTTTGTGGGTTAGGATCAACCTGCCATTCTCATATTGCCATCCTAATAAACAGCAGCTCCCAGCTGGCTTCTGGCTAAGTGGAAGGGTGTTGAGAACTGCTGATTTTTGGATAACAAAATGTTAACATATATTCAAGTTTTTCTGCCTGCATTATGCATGTAAAGGAAAACTTGAACACACCAACGATTTCCATGCAAAGAATTGTGTAATCATACAGCAGTGTGCTGAAAGACCGTTAATTTAAAGGGATTTTATCCAATTTAGAGCTAATGAGCTCACTAGATAGCATCTGTATGGAGTTAAGGGGCAATAAAAAAAAATCGCATCAGAAATTAAGTCAGAAATGTTAAGAAGTTAACTGTATCTGGTTTTCATGCCTTAATATAAGATATCTTCCCTTTTCATATATTTTTGTGATAAATTCTCCCATTCAGCAGTTCCTCTCAAACTGTCCAGAACGTTCTGTAAGCCTACTTTAGAAACAATCAGAAAATGTTTGGCATTTAGGTTTAGTTCCTCCTCGCTTCTAAATTGTTTGTGTTTCCTGAATGTGGCAAAACAGGGTGAAATAAGAGCAATCCCTGCTAGTGGTGCTGTAAATTAATGAGCAGAGAACAAGAATCAGGAGGGAGGTCAGCAGAAGAAGTGTTTGCTCCTGTATGTTTGAACTGCCTGTACCATACCATTAAAGATATTCCCCTCCCCCCCTTTGGATGCTTTCAGGAAAGGATACAGATAATCACTTTACTGGAGGCAAGATGTCTGAGGAAGTCTACACCTGCCTACCCTGCAGGGAAGGATGTTCTTACTGCACAGATGATGCTCCCTGCTATGCACAGGAGGACAAGTATTTACGGCTTGCTATCATCTCATTCCAAACATTCTGTATGCTCCTGGACTTCATAAGCATGCTGGTAGTATACCATTTTCGCAAGGCAAAGGTAAACACAGATATGTTTTCTTTAATCTTCCTTCCTACTCTCTTACAGACACACTTGTGCTTAAATAAGGTACCTCCAGTTTGAATGATCAACTTTGCAACCAAGCAGTGCTTTTTCTATTTGGATTTTTTTTTCCCCACAGAGGCCACTATGTTCAGCCACAGTTGCTTTACTGTGGGCAATCAAATCCATATTTAAGTACTTTAATAAGTGATCTTATTTTAAAAGTGCAGAGAATGTACCAGGTCTCACAGACGTCAGCTGATCCAGTACTCAGTGGGTTTCAGTAATAGCTGTTAGGTACTCAGCACTTCTAAAAATCAAGCCACTTATCTAAACACTTTAATATGGATTTAAGTATGAATTTAGGCAGCAGAATTTGAAGATGCTACTATCTTAATCTGTTTCAGCATGTTGGGAAGAATGTTTGGTTTAAATATTTTTGGGACACCTTAAGCCTGATAATTGCTTGAAAAAGCAATGTTTCCAAATCTGTAGGTAGCTAAAAAGTTTTAATTTGGTTCCTTGTGTAATGGATTTTGAGTTGAATTTTTCCTGTACCCTAATTTAGTTCTGAAAGACTTGTGTTCATATAGTATATTACTTTGTTTAAACAGTTTCAACTACTTTCCATAAATAGAAAAGCATTTCTATTATGGCTTTTGTTTTATTTTACTGGGTTTCTTTTTTACACTGATGATCACAGAGTCTACTTCATCTGACACTTCTGGTGTTAGAAATGCATGTGACCGTCTTCAAGACCCTAATGCCCCGTTTGGAAATGCAACATCAGTTGTAAAATGTTTTTTTCTTTCTTCAGTTTCTGACTGTTCTTGCTTTTCCTAAAATTGTACAAGTAGATTCAGATTATAACCTTTATTGAATTTACAAGGTGTCTAATTATGAGAAGTCTGTTGTGGCTACCTGCTTCCCCCCTTACTGAAACGTTATAGGGGCTTGTTTTTTTAATGGTTGTGTTAAATAGACAATATCATTAACAGAAACATTCCTCATGGATTAAGCTCTGTCATGAAGCCTGCAAAGGAGTGAACAAAGGTGGATTGTATTCCATCCAACTAAATTTTTTTCTGTTCATTTCTAAAATGCATAATAAGTTTGAGTTTAATAAACAGCATGATGACGAATATGATTGGGGAATTGGAACCCTTTCATATAAATGGTACAGATCAGATGAGAATGAACTACACGTATGTTGTTGTTTTTATAATATAGCATTACATGTGTATAGTGATCCCTGGGTTCAATAAACAGGTATACGTGAATAAGAAGAACTAAACAAACTTTACTTGTGGGGCAGTTGGTAACTTCTGCAGATCATTTACCTTTCTGTAACTCACTAGCCTAACTGAGGGACCATCTCCCAATTCCCAACTTCTGTAGCCTTCTAAGTAAGGGAGTGTCCCAAAAGTGTAACTTCAGTCACTACAGTATGTCTAGTGGACTTTTTTTTGGCTGGGGAGGGGCAGGACCTGGTTTCATTCATCCTGGTACCAGTGAAACTGCATTTATAGTAGTGCAGAAATTGGAGGTTTTTCAACAGTTAAGAGCTGAACAGGATCGGAATATTTCATGTGAAAGAAAACAAGCAGCATCTGTTGTCCTCCCCATTTTTTAAATTCCTGTCCATTTGTCCTAATATCTTATAAACCAGCAGAAAAGGTCACAAGCCCAGTTTTGCTTGTTTTTTTCTTTCCAGTGGGCTACCATTTTACAAATTAGGCAAGTGAGAATGCTATAGGAGTCAGATATGAAACAAGACCTTTTTCCCCCCAATAAGAGACCTTTTATCTTTTGAATGTTCTATTTTTGTCACATTGGATGTAAATAGATTCCATTAAAATGTTTCTAGATTAGAAGATGGGTTTTTTGCTCTAAATAAATGTCTTAAAATGAACATTAACCAATTCATTGCTATTTTTTTGGGTAACAGGCATTTCCCTTAGATTAATGTTGTCAATGAGTAGAAATGAAAAATGGTATCCCATTGCTTTTCATGTCACTCAATTGAATTTTCTCTTGGATTCTTTTTTATGTCCTTTTATCTTGTTGGTACAGCATGATTTAAAAAAAAAGAAGAAAGATCTTGTGTGATTAATGTGAAATGAGAAGCTCTATGAAAGGCAAACATACTGCGAACAATGATCATTTGCATAAGAAAACTGCTGGAGATATTGGATAATAACAGAAAATTGGAATGAAAAAAATGAAACTGGTAGTGAGCCATATGCTCTCTGCTGAGGGGGGGAAAAGTCATGGAAATGAAAGAAAAGCTACTGGAACATGGAATATCTAGATTCTGAGAATGTAAAGGGATTTCTCAAACCATCAGTAAAACAAAAATATATTAATTTTGAGGGTGGGGTGTAAAACTCATCGTATCCACTGAAGTGGGGGAGTATTGGAGGGAAAGCTTTTCCTGGTTCACAAAGATCCTGGAGGCCCTCTGGGTTAAAATCCATGGGGAACTTGGCACAGGAGACACAATGGTGAGAGTCTATTACAGACCTCCCACCCAAAGTCAGGAGCTTGACCAGGAGTTCACCAGGGAATTGGCTGAGGCTGCATACTCCCGGTCCATGGTTGTCATGGGAGACTTCAACTACCCAGACATCTTGTGGGAACAGCGCTCAACTAAATCCAAGTGGCCGCAAAGCTTCCTCTTGTGCGTGGATGACCTCTATCTGACACAAGAAGTCTATGGGCCAATGAGAGGTAAAGCGCTGCTCGACCTGGTACTGGCAACTAGGGATGACCTAATCGGCAACCTAACAATTGATGGGAAGCTGGGTGACAGTGACCATGAGCTGATCACCTTCACCATCTGCCATAAAGCTGGCAAGACAGTCAGCAATACAGAAGTCCTCAACTTCAGGAAAGCTGACTTTGACAAGCTCAGGAGACTTGTTGGCGAGGCCCTAAGGGACCATGACCCAAAGGGGAGGGGAATTCAGGAAGAGTGGTTACTTCTCAAGGGAACGATCCTTGATGCACAAGCTAATGCTATGCCATCTCAGAGGAAAGGCAGCAAAAGGGCACAACAGCTTCCTTAGCTCTCCAGGGACCTCCTGCAGCTAAAAAGAAAGACCTACAAAGGATGGAGGACTGGAACCACCTCCAAGGAGGAATATTCTGCAATGGTCCAGACCTGTAGGGAGCAAACAAGGAAAGCCAAGGCTGTGACTAACCTCCAACTAGCTACAAGTATCAAGGATAATAAAAAGTCCTTTTTTAGATATGTGGGGAGCTGGAGGAAAAGCAAGGGTAACATCGGATCCCTGCTAAACCAGAAGGGACAACTGACGATCGAAGCCCAGCGTGACAGGAGTATCTCTATCGGAGCCTTTCCGGGAGTGGCTCCGCCCTCCTGTAATGGGCCAACCACCTGCTTACTCACCTGCCA